CTAAGCTATAGCATCTATGGTTATTTTACTCACTCTATACCCCACTAACTTCCCATTGTACTGCTTTCTTCACATAAAGGAGATTCTAAAATGAACCACCTAGACTGGTACCTGCTTTACCTCCTCGAATTTTCTTTGAATTCTTTTTTTTATTTAAACACTTTTTTTTCTTAAGCAGCAGGGTCTTCCAGCTTCTAGATTTTTTTGTGTCCTCAATAAAAACCATATTCTGTAGCAGGTGAGCCACTAGCCAGCTTTAAAAACTTACATACAATGGATGGAACAAGCAAAAAAAAAAAGAATAAAACCATCAAATCAAGATTTAAGTGTGAGTTAATGAAATCTAGACCTCATAATTCCTCACATTTACTATTTATTTATTTATTTATTTAGTGTGTATGTGTGCCTGTGAAGGTCAGAGAAAAACTCGTGGGAATCAGTCCTCTCCTTCCACTGTGTGGGTTCCAGGGATCAGACTCAGGTCATCAGGCTTGGTGGCAAGTGCCTATACCTGCTGAGCCATCTTGCTGGCCCAAGACCTCAAATTTCCCAGGTGGGATTATGGATTGCTTACATTGGTTACTACTACTCTCTTCGTGGAATTAGAGTAGGGAAGCCTAGTTTAGTAAGTGGAAGAAGTGTAGCTAGGAATGGCAGAGGAGTGGAAGCACGTTTCTTTGGCTCTGGGCTAGACTGTTTGCAAATTAGCTTAACTAAAGTTTAAGTAAGGTATATTAAAAAGGAGAAAAATACACAACCGTGCCATTGTAGATCGTAATATAAGGAAAATCATTCTTGAAGGATATGGTTCCTTCTGCTGTTCTTACATGTGCAATAATGAGGAAGGACCTGGAGAAGGAAATCCTTGCGTCAGACAGGGCCAAGTAGAAAGGCCTCCTGGCAGACATGGTGGGGTGAGCATGAAAGCTCATTATGCTTGAGGCTGCAGCTGGAGGACTGTTCAGTGAGACCCTATCTGTAAGAAAATTAAAAATAAAATGGAACAATTGTCAAATTCCAGGAAATTTTTTCCATTATGACATTGCTTCTTTATAAATAGAACTTAGGTTTTTGTTTTGTTCTGTTTTGTTTTTTGCCAATATTCAGCCCACCCTGGCTTTTGGTTCTTTCTCATCAGTCGTGAGCAATTCCTGCCTTCCTCCTCCAGGAGAACCATCAGCTACCTCTTCTCTTAGCATCCTGCTCCTCTCTTTTGCACGTTCTTATGCATTATTCAAGTTACCCTTTATTATGTACGTATTATCATTAATTTGTTGTATATTTATACATTATCCAGCTTTGTGATTCGGCTATTTTTGATTTGGTCTTTTTATGTATTATTTTTCCTACTCAAGGGACAGTAGGCAATGAGAAGCAACATATTTGTTTTTCTTCACAATCAGGCCACTGAAAACCATTTCTCCTGTATCTTCATTCCTCGAACATTTTTCTGTAACATATGAGTGCGTTAAAAATAGAAATGATATCATTTTTAGGTTTGAAGTCTATTAGACTGCAGACTTTCAAAATAAAATTAAAATCTAACCAATACTAGTTTGGTCCGTGGTTAAAATGTAATGGCTAGAGACTCAACCCTGACTCCCCTGCATAATTGACCTTTTAGTCCCTTTTAGTTCAGAGAGTTGTGTTTTCTTTTGAGAGGAATTCACTTTTGTGTCTCTCTGGGTACTTAGCTAGTGCCCTTTACATGCCATGAAGCAGTGTTTCTTTATTGATTAATGGTCCCAGAATTAATTTCATTTAATGGGAAAACAAAAGCAGTGGGTCTGCATTCTAAGATCCCTGTGCTCTTCCTAAAGTGAACCCTTGTACTCTGCCTTCTACACAGTCTTGTTCCTATTTTCACTATTCGGAGTTACTTTTGCTGTTTAAACAGCAGTTTGTGGTCCCTTTGACATCACACGCAGCGAATGTGTTCTGCACATGAAGATACTATTTATACTAGGCACATGTCTAAGAGAGGACTAGAAAAATCAATGGGCACAGCAATTACTCACTAAAGATAACTATCATTTTGACTAAGGAAAATTTTTAAATTTTATATTTTAAAAATGACAAAATCACCCATATCCTCGAACTTTTGTATGATTTTGAATGGCTGGACCTTTATAAAAAGAGACTCATGGGTTTGGTCGTGTTTAATGAGCATTCTGACAGTTACAGTGGTTTCCGGTGCTGTTTTTGATCTTCAGAAATGATGTGGCTACCTGTCTCTGTTCTTAAATTCTCACTGCACTTTACTTTTTTTTTCTACTGTGTGTTGTAGAAACAGATTTACATAGCTTAATTTATTTGAAATTTACATGTAAGCACAAGTAAATGTAAGAGCCAGTAAGTTACTGCCTTCTTTTCCTAGCCATTAATAATTTTCAATTAAAAACTTGAAATGAAAACTTGATGTATTATCTCTACCGTAAGTGGTGAAATAGATGCTGTGTCCCCTCCCAATAGTCTGTCTATAGACAACTCAACTTCCACAAGGTAAAACTCAATGTGTGTATCATTACTTTTTAAGGTCACATAACTCTTAGGTGAAACTTAGTATTGTTTTTCGCACTTTGAAGATAACTTCGCTGAAATAAGCTTCCTTTCCTTCCTTGGTTTTCCTTTTTTTCTCCCTCTCCGCCTGCCCCTCCTCTCACTGAGATTAACAGGTCTGGCTTCATGAACAATTTCTTCCTTTTGCTTTGTCTTTTGGAGAAATATATAAGATTACTGGTTGGATTCCAGTAGGTCTGTGATGGCCAGTCAGAAAGTGTAGCTTAGGGCTACAAGTACACTTGTCACTTTATACCAACTGTGGTGGTCTAGTTCATTCCACAAGTGTCAGCACACTCAAAACACATACTTTTTGTTTTTAATTCCAAAGAGGCAATTTTTAAACAATTTTTCCAGAATTAACTTGGGGGGGGGGATAGGAATAAGAAATCAAAGACCAAAGGATTTGCCAACATAGGGAACTTTGGTGTATATACAATGAAATTTAAGGGGGGAGGATAGGAATAAGAAATCAAAGACCAAAGGATTTGCCAACATAGGGTCAACTTTGGTGGAACAATGAAGGTTTCCATTAGCTCTGTTCTTAAAAAAACACATACTTTCATTGGGTGCCTTTACCAGAATTTGGGTAATTTTTCAGATGACAGAAACCAAAATGAGAACTAATTTCCCACATTAATAGCAACATGCAGTCTTTTTCTTATTTCAGAAGAGCATTCTAATTAAAACATAGATTGGTCATATTTTGTGATGGTAGTGCTAAAGTTTTAGTGTTCTTCTTTTAATGAAGACTCCTTTCCTTTTAAATGTGTGACCACAGAAAGATTTAGAGGTGAATGTACATGATGTTAATAGACCTGCTTCAAAGTAGTACAGGGAGCAGAAGTGTAAGTACAGCTGAGTTGAGATTGTCTGAAGTTGGACAACAGGTTCATGAAACCCATTATTATTGTGCCTGTACATTTTAAAGTTTGGAATTATAAAATACATTTTATAGCTCATGTTATTGTTAGAATGTTTTAATATAAATTCATAAGCTTCCATAAAAATCAGCATTATTTGAGATAGTCCATCCCAAGTCATCTCCCTTGCCGATCAGAGATGCCTGCTGAATGTTGTGACCAAACATGGTGTGTGATGCAACCCCATGGTCACCCAGGATGATGACCTTCTACAGCAGTTCCTAATTTACTGACATTAATTCTGTTTAATTATCTGTTACATTAGTTCTGTCACCACTTTGTTTTCTGTCTCTCGGCATCTATGTTTTGGCAATGTTAAGTATTCATGGATTGGACGGAGGAGGCCCTGGACACTTCTGCCACGGCACATTTTAATTGTTTCATAATTCCTTTTCCCTTCTCTGCATTCCCTCACTAGAATTTTATGAAAACAGAAAGTGAGTCGTGTTCACCATTGTATCCCTAGAATATTGCTACTGCAATATTTGTATAAATTAGGCCTCTAATACATATTCATGGAATGAATATATTAATAACGTATCTTTTTAAGTGGCCACCATGATTTCTAGATCTGTTTTCAGTATTCCACCCTCAATGTAGCTTCTGGAAGGTGTGCTCTAAGCTGTTGTTGTGCTCTGTTTACCCCTCCACAATGCCTCCCTCATTGGGGTAAATGTGCAGACACTTGTACAGGAAGTCCACAGGCTTCCTGTCATCCTGTCATGCTCCCATCTTCATCTCTGTGCTTCACAGATCACCTGAACTCCTTGCATAATTTATGAACCCCCTTTCTGAGTACTTCCTCTGTGGACTTGCGGCCCCCATGTACATTTTGAAAGTGGCACTACAGGGGGATGCCTTCCTTATCCTGGAAAGGCAGAGGTGGACATGCTGCACCAGAGGCTGGGAGTGCACCAGCCGATGCCACAGCATCACTGTCCCAACCATGAACTTCCTCTCAGCGGTGACAACCCTTTCCGTAGTGTTTTCCTCTTCATCGGGAGCAACCCTAAGGCAGGACTTACTTTTATTTTTCTTAACATCCTCACTATATCTGGGAAATAGAGGGCCCCAATAAATACTTGTAGATTGAACAAATTAAGAATTTTTTTTTCCTAAGCAAGTGAATGAGTTTTCCATAAACGATGTTATATCAAAGGTCGTTTTCCACATCCATACCCATTTGTCCCATTTGTTTTTGCAGTGTAGTCAGCAGGTCAAAAAAGCCCTGAATCTGTAAACAAAGAATTAAATGGTAAGCTAAAGACAACCTTCAAATCTGGGGAGCTTGGATTTTTATATCTTCAAGGTTCTTTAGTAATGGGAGTAATTCTCATAATTTTAATGATGCCTACAGTTAGCTTCCGTGGAATGGGTCTTTGACCTTTCGTTAGATTTTTGTAAACAGGCGAAAGCACAAAAACTACTAAAATGTTGAGAAATGAAATCTGTTATGTTGCCATGAGCCTTATTGCTTAAGCGAGTCATGAAGCTTGACTGTTGCTTTTTCCTTTTCAGATATGTCTTCTCCAACTACAATGAAGAAGCCTGAAAAGCCATTGTTCAGCTCTACATCTCCACAAGATTCTTCCCCAAGACTGAGCACTTTCCCCCAGCACCACCATCCCGGAATACCTGGAGTTGCACACAGTGGTGAGGAATTTCACACATACAGGCCTTCCTCTTGTCCACGTGGCTCTCTCTAAAGGGTGGAGAGGACATTTATGTTTATTGCTATGGTGACCATATTTTCTCAGTCCGAAAGGGAAGGGTTTCTAACTGATAAAATATTTTTCTTACCAATTTATGAGAAAAGATTTTAAGATTAGGCAGTTAATCATTTCTGAGAGTGGAGGAATCCGTTTTCTCCAGGGATGAGTTCCCCAGTAGGTTGCCCAATCCTGAGTGATCAGTGCTAAACGCATCTGCATACAAGCACCACTAGCAGGACTCAGTCGGTTGTTGCTATATATGCACACATGTATATGTATGTAACAGTAAGAACTAAAGACAAGGTCAGGCTGTTAAGAAAGCATGGAGAAATGTGGGAAGAGTTGGAAGAGCAAGAGGAATGGGTGGAAATGATATAAATACAGGAGTCACGTATGATGTTCTCAAAAATAAATAATTTAAATTTTAAAATATTTTAATCACAAAAACCTAGAAAAATGAAGTATATATTTATGTTGAATTTAACTCCATAATTGGTCTTAATTCTATTTATCTGTTAGAGAAAGATGAATTTTCAAGTACATTGCTGAGTTTAGAGTTTTTTCAAAGATATTAATATATAGAGATACTGTGTCTGTAGATGTTATTTTTCTGTACACAAATCAGTAATTATTTGGGAGTAAAATTAATGAGAAAATATGTGCTAGCTCTTCTCTATGCACAAATATTTTTGTCTAGCACATATGATGTGTCTTAATCAATTAAGAAGGAACATTCAGTGTTTCACATGTGTATTTTAATGAAACAATAGTAATATTTCAAAAATTAAAAATATGTGGAATTAGAAGCAATACTATGTGCTATCACCTATCACTTTTTAGTACTAGAGAGTAGTCCACTAAAAGTTTTATATATAAATCTTTATAATACTACTCTTACTGTTTTAACTACTAGTCACACAACCTTCATCCTAACTGAATCAGTGTTTTCATCTTTACTCACAAGCTGTGACATGAGGTTTTTTAAGTATATGTTGTCATTTATTATTGCTATGCTTAGAAATCCCTGATCTTTATTATCACTGAGGAAACTGTGAAGCTAGAATCAGAATATGAAAACTGTAGTGGCATGAGCAGTTTTGCATCAAGTGTTTGGGCTGTGAGATAAGTGAAAAAAATGAAATTTAGAAGTGATGTCATCTGTACATTGTTACATCTGATTAAGAATTCATACTTCTACATTTGAAAAAAATTAAATGGTATTTTTATATAATGAAATTTGAAAGTTCTCGAATAAACTTTACACTTTGGTGTTTTGCCAAATACTTAAGTATCTAACATACCAGGTAATCTATGCAGTTAGTACACACAGAGTTAGTCTCCTGTGGTAGGAACCTTAGTCATGTGATAAAGATTTTGTCCTTAAAGAATTTATAATATAGTAGAGGCCTGAGGACCCATCACTGGCCAAGCATCTAATCCAAATAGGACCAGATATTTGAAGAAGTCTTAGATGCCTGAAAGAAAGACATCCTAATCTAAGTTGGAAGGGTGAGTTCACCACCAGAAGGAACAGCAAGCCAGGAGGAAGATGAGGCATCGGGTGCCAGTGCAACGTGGTCATTGCAGCAAGGAACTGCCACATGGCCAGGGACCCACAACTTCTAATATAGCTGGTGCTGAGGCTGCAAAGTAGACCAGGACTGGGGCTTGAAACCTAGGAGGACCCCATGGATCTGTGAAGTTGCTGGGAGTGTATTTTAGAAACAATGGGAACTCAACAAAAGGCTTTTAGCAGAGAAGTTAACACAATTGCACTGTTTTGTTTTGTGTTTTGTTTTGTTTTGTTTTGTTTGGTTTGGTTTGGTCTTTTTGAAGCAGGGTCTCCCTGTAGCCCCAGCTGTCCTAGAACTCAGTATGTAGACCAGGCTGGCCTTGAACTCACAGAGATCCCACCTACCTCTGCCTCCTAAGTGCTGGGACTACAGGCGTCCGCCACAAAAAGTCATTCACATAGAACTATAAAGATTGCCCTGGAAGGAGCAAGACTAGAGTAAGAAAGACTATCTGGAAGGAATTTCAATAATGGAAGCAAAAACTCGTGTGTGTGTGTGTGTGTGTGTGTGTTTCCTTTCAAAATGAAGTAAAATATTTTTGGTCTTATATTTTGGTTTCTTTTCAAAGGACTAGAATGACTTTTTGATAAGGTAGCCACTTTCAGTTTCATTTTGAAATAGAAAACTCTTCTCAGTTATGTCAGGACAACTACAGATTCCAGACTGATTTGAGTTCAGACTTGAACTGCAACTGACACAGTTGAAAAGAGGTGTTTTCCAAGAACTAGTAAGACAAAACTGCTCCTCAGGCTCAGACGACCAAGAGGGAACAATATACATATATCCCACAGAGTTTATGTATACATGTGAGCAAAGTATGTAGTTTAATTGAGCTGAGATTAAGACTACTTACCCTCTAAATAAAAAAAAAAAAGACCAATTTTGAATATTTCTTTTAAATTATCTTTCAAAGGGGTATCATCTTAAATAAAGTAATACCTCAATAGCACTTTGTTTTAAGAGGAAGCAAGCAGTTGTTCTCCACAGCTGCATCCTTTGATGGAGTCTGTGTGTGAAAGATTACACAGGATACAAGTTTGAACCACAGGTCCTGTTTCCTTGCCCCTGCTGGTCTTCATCTCCTGGGCCTAGGGCAGTCTCCTAGGCACTCTGGTAGCAGAGTTGGAGTGTTAAGCTAAATTTCTGGTTCTATGGTATACATCCCTAAAATTTCATATGCCCTGAAAAATTTTGGGGGGTAAATAATAATCTTATAAAACTCTCTTTTTATAATTACAAAGTTTAAGGTAGTCATTTTTTATTTAGAGTCATTAAAAGAATTTAGTTTTCATATTGTGTACTAAGTTGTTTCATAAAACATTAAATAAATATTAGGTCAAAATATTAAAGAAATAGACATTTAACTTTTACTTCTACATTTATTACTTTGTTGTCTTTATTAGTAATTATTAGTATTACTATTAGTACATTATTATTATTATTATAATTATTCCAATCATTTCTATAGTGACAATGGCTAAAATAATCATTCTCCATTTTTCAAATTTAAGAATTATGTATTATATAATATGTGATATAATACCTTATTATTTTAATCAACTCTATAGATATAATGATGAAAATATTCTTTCTCCATTTTTCAAATAGGAATAATTTCAGAATTAAATATTATGATCATGCTCATGTTGAAAAGTTACAATTGAACATTATCCACATTGCATATGTATTACTTCCCACTATAAAATAAAACATTCATTATTGTAAAATATATGGTTTACTTAGTGTCCCTATCTCCATAAAAATTTAAATGAATATTTTTTGTGGGTTTCATTTTTGGTCTTACTTCAGTAACGTCTTTGAACCTTAATATGATAACAGCTAAAGTAGTAATAAAAATAGTCACAGAATGGGCTGGAGAGATGGCTCAACAGTTAAAAGCACTGATTGCTCTTCCAGATGACCTGGCTTTGGTTCCCAGCACCCATATGGTGGCTAACAACCATCTGTAACTCCAGTTCCAGAGGATCTGATGCCCCCATCTGGTCTCTACCAGTTTGCACACAGGTGGTGCACTTACATACATGTCAGCAAAAACATTCATATGCATAGAAATAACTTTTAAAAATTATATTATTCTGTTTTAGTTTTGAAAGGAAGACTTTCCAGTAGGAAGAGTCCAGGTGCCATATTCTAATGTTCAGCAGTACTTACACAGTGACCTGGTCTTCATTCATGACTTTCTGTCTGTTTATTATTGGCTTTCCTTTTAAATGATTGTCAAGGATATCAAGAGAGAGGACATTTGAAATTGAATTATACTTCTCTTTTGAGTTTTAGTGAAAAACATGGATCTCTTGCCCCCAGTGAGTGCTTAGTCTAGATTTAGGGAGACAAAGATTGTAGAGTGAAGGATCATGTCTTTGATGGGAAGTCACTCAGGTATTTTATCTAGTAATCCTCCATGGATCTAGAAAGCAAGGTGGGTCAGTTATGCTGGGTGGAGTTTGTCTCCGTGTCCTCCACAGTGTTAGCTTTGAGAACAAAACAAGTGAAGGGCAGTTTATTTTATTACGGGAGCAAGTAAACACTCATGGGCTCTGCAGTTCTCCAGTGTTCGTGAGGGCGGGAATGGAATGACGCAATGAGGCTACCGGCTGACCGGCTAATCTCTCTTTTTTGTGTGTCCTGCAGTCATCTCAACTCGAACTCCGCCTCCACCCTCGCCGTTGCCATTTCCAACACAAGCTATCCTTCCTCCAGCTCCATCCAGCTACTTTTCTCATCCAACAATCAGATATCCTCCCCACCTGAATCCTCAGGATACTCTGAAGAACTATGTACCTTCTTATGACCCGTCCAGTCCTCAAACCAGCCAGGTAAAAATAAGAGAGAAAATACACGTAGAGTCTAGGGGACATGGGACAGGTCTAACTCTAAGGCATGACAGTTAGTCAGAATGCGTCTGGCAGAACATCAGGCCTTGCAATCCAGCTTCAGAAAGCTTCTTGATGACTCAGTAAGTTTTTATTTAAAGGTGGCTGAATGGCAGGTAGGAAATGTGTTGCCTTAAAGGGGTAAATTTGTGAAGAGGTTTTTGGTTTAATGTTTTGAATTTTCCTTGACTGAAGGGAAAGTTTATGCCAAAAAACTCTTGAGTTGGAGTTCGCACCTCTGAACTACCTGGTTTGACATAGAGACAAAGTGCTTATTTCAGGCAAGAGCAAGGTATGTGCTAAAATAAACACACACAGAAGAACTTAGAGCTGCATTTATAGGCCAGTCATTCAGCATTAAAATAAGCTTCAGTAATGCAAACATTTTCGGCGTCTGATGACTCCTTGACTGTTCTTTGCAGAGACGAGACTTACATTTAATAATGGGCAGCATTTCTAGGAGTGTCTCTTTTTTATTTTTTCGTAAACATTCTGCATTAGTTTTAGTACTTCGTTGTGTAAGTGTAGTGAGTCATGTGCAGCTCTCCCTCCTTGGAAGTGTGGCGTCTTCAAGGGATGTCACTTCATAGGGATTTGGCCAGGAGGATTTTGCACAGTCAAGTAGGCTGCTTTTGTGCCAAAAAAATGGTTCTGTCAGTACTTATCTAGGATGCTAATGTAATTTTGATATTATGGTCTAATAGTAGGTTTTGCTGTTTTAGCTCAGGGACTCTTGTCCACTTATCACTTTGAATGCTTTGGGGGATTTTCACAACATTCAATGACACCACTGTTAAATTAGACTAAAATTAGAGTACATTAAAAAAAAAAAAAAACTTTTGTCTTAATTTGAACAACACCATATACAATACCCTTTGTATTACTTAGAGAATTCCTGTTGCTTTTAGTTCTACTGACTGTTATATGAAATGAAATAATGCATTTTGGGTTAAACATTCATTTGTGTTTCAAAAAAAAGTGTCCAAATGGTGTAAGAACAGCGACACTAATGACACATAAGTAAGAGAGTAAGATCTTACTATACCAGCTTAGAAATGAAATTTGCTGTTGCAGTATGGATTCAGAGTCGTAGTTCCATAGAGAATTTTGCTAGATTCAGCTGGGAACAGTGTTCACAAGGTCTGATTTTAATTTGTGTAGAATTTCCATGAATAACAAAGTCTAATTAAGACATCCATTAAAAGTCCTTAACGTTAATTCAGTGTGGAAAATCTTAGAGTTCCATTGGTTTTTTTTTTTTTTTTTTTTTTTTTTTTTTTTTTTTTTTAAACTGATGTCTTAATTAGGCACTGTTAGGGGAAAAATTATGCAAATTAAAATCAGGCCCTTAGTGTTACCCATTTCTTTAATTATTCAGTGCTTGTTTTACAGATATTTTGATTTCTTTATAAGTTAAAAGAGCATTTTAGGTGATAATTTGCCTCTGTTCTCAGTTTTTTCTACATGTTTTCAAGGTAAAGGTCCACCTTTTAAGATACTTTCACCCTCATCTCAGTTAAAAGACAAAAACAAAGCAAACCCCTCAGGATTCTGTATAAAAGGTACAGTGTAGTAAGGAGGGTAATCCTTTACCAATGTGGTTCATCTTCAGATAAAACACCTTTCTTTTTTTAATCTAATAGCAGCCCCAAAAGATGGAGGCTTTATAACTTAGCTTCATTTGTTTAACTAATAGAAAACTGACAGTGAACCCTCCTACTCTTCTGACCTCGACTTTTGGAAGTCTGCATGGGCTTCCTCTTTTCCCTTCTACTACTTTAAATGGGAGAACCCTTGGTTCATGCTCATGCAGTTCCAGTAGACAGTGCACAGACTGCACTAGTTAATATATTTCATGACAGTACTTCCTTACATTTCTTATCATTTGACTCCTGCTCCAGGTAGGTACAAACTGTTTTGGTGAACACTATATAGAAACACTTTCACCATTGGCCAGTGCTTAAATGACAGCTTTCTTCTTTCCAAGGACACACCCAAAGTAGTTATTTGCTATATTCCCATTACCAGAAATTGATGATGGTGTGCTTTAAAAACAAACTACTACTGACCTTAAAAAACAAAATAAACCTTTATAGGAAACTGCAGAAACACTTTGTTCAAATCCAGCTCAAACTATTTCATATACATTCCAAAGTAGAACTCTTGGTAAGCACCTTTCCAGTGCTGGAAATGGGAAGAAGGGAGCTGCTGGCCACACTCCTCCAGCCCCAGCCTCCCCCAGTGCTGCACCAATTCAGATTGCTAAGCAACTGACATTCCTATGCTTCCTCACAGCCATGTGGAGATTAACTGCATTACTGCTGCACCAGTGCTAGTCATGCCAGTCAATAAAATAGTTTGAATAAAATTAGTTTAAAGATAGAATTCTTCCTTAGGTTTCTGCAGAGGAAAACTCTGGTTAATTTTTTTGACATAAAGTTAAATACTAAAATTACCCATGGTGAATGGTCAGGATATTCAAGAAGTCCATTTTCTTTATAAAATAGGGTAAGTGACCCCTCAGTAACCCCAAAAGACTTGTTCCATGGCTTTAAGTCCCAGTATCTAAGTGCCCTTAGCTGTCTTTCTCTGAATTCATGTACTGAATTTATTTAGATAAATACTCTATTTCATTACTGTCTTCGATTTTAAAAGTTGGAATTATGAAGACCATAAATTTGTAGAGAATGACTTAGATGATTGTTAGAAAGACTGTCCCATGAAGAATCGTTACATGAGTCTGTCTGGAGTAGTAAATTCCAGGATCTCTTTGAATAGTGTGGGTCGTTAGGATTTTGTCTCCTACCACAGCAACTATTTTTCTTTCTAGGGGCGAAAACTCAGGTGATAACATCTTTTCTGAAATAAGACAGTTACTTCTCACAAATGCTAATGATGAATGTTCTGTGTAACACCCCGTGTACGGCAAGAGAAGAATAAAAGTTGCAGTGGCCTTTGGCCATTCTCGCGTCCCCTTCAGTGCATGACAGTCCTAGGAAATTTTATTCCTAAGCATCATGTCAGACCTAGCTGAATATTTTGTATCTTTTGTGCACCTGAAGTTTTATGTACTTTAAATCTCATCTCCCTGCTTATATTAGTAAGTCATTAAAAGTTGACTTGGTACTGGAGTCTAAACAGCCTGTTATGTGTGTCTGTGACAGCTGTGTGTGAGAGAAAGCTAGAGTCCTGCATGCAGAAAGGTGGACTATTGACTATGAATGAAGGAAACCAGAGCTGGATGTATCCTCTCTTAGACATTCTTGTGTCTCATGTCAATGACATCATCATCTAGGAGGAAAATATTGGGTTGAAAGGCCAACTGACTTGGTCTGAAAACTGTAGAGCAGAACATGGGATTGCTGGGTTCTTACCACAGATAATTCACTCAGGAATTCCAGTTTAGCTGTAGCCAAGCATCACAGGCTCTGTGTGAGTTTTCTGGCTGACGACATGAGCAGGTCAAGTCTACTCAACTCCTTGGGGTGTCATAAAGAGGAAATCACCTTTATAACATACCTTGAAGATGAAAGCTTTTCTTTACATACTGTTTCTGCTTATTACTACTAACCATTGATTGACATCCAGCGCGGACTTGAGAAGGCCTGCGTGGCGCTTATCCACACTGTGCAGAATCCACATGCCTGCCTGTGCTGAGTGGAGTTGTTGGACGAGATGACTGCCTTTTGGTTTGCTTCACCCAGCATTCTGTTTTTGTTTTGTAGCCTAACAGCAGTGGTCAAGTAGTAGGGAAAGTGCCTGGCCATTTCACTCCTGTCTTGGCACCCTCTCCCCATCCCAGTGCAGTGCGACCTGTGACCCTGACCATGACAGATACTAAACCCATCACTACATCCACTGAAGGTGAGGCAGCTTCACCTACAGCAACCAGTAAGTATCTCTGTAGGAAATGAGAAATGTCCATCAAAGGCACCGTTGGATATCTGATCCGAGGTGGAAAGCACAGCAACTTTTCCCGCTACCTGACCAGATGGAGATTTCTCATTTTGGTGGAACTAGCAGGCATGTATGTGGCCCAACTGCCCCATGCTCTCTCTTCTCAAATTTCCATCAGCACATCACATTTGAAAAGGGAGAAGCATCTGTTTTTGAGGAAATAGCCATAATGAAAGTAATAACCCATGCCTGCTTGTTCAAGGTGTACATTGAAATTACACTGAATAGCATCACACAATATACAAGGTTTTACATCACTGAAAGAGAGATTAGGACATTGTTACTTATTAGAACATTCCTTTAGAAATCAAGTGCCTCCACCAGGCCAGGGAAATCAGTTCCTCTGTAAGACAATTACATGTTTACCTCACTGTAGGCTATATCATTGTTAGAAGCAGTCTCGCAGTATACTGTGCATGCAAGAACATTGTGAAGCTTAGTGTTAGGCACGTGTGAGGTACCTACACTTTCATTATCTGCAATGTTTTTCCTTAAATCTCTTGGCTGTTTTCCTATCATGGCACATCAGATCCTATGCTTATTCACATGACACAGCATTATAGATGTCAGGGATTCAGACAGTGCCCTTACATGGCATACATCAGTAAGCTAAAGGATTCCTTGGCTTCGTCATGTAGAATGCTCAGAGGTATATAAAGAATACATTTTCAATTGGCTTCACCCAAACGTCTAGCTTCTTAAAACTGGAAATGGTATGCACAGGTTGGCCAATGGTAAGATTTCAGTTGGGAGCAGCTAGCATGTTCCATTACAATGATGCGTGTGTCTTATATTCTGATTAATTTTCTTTCAAGAGCAAGGAAATCTTTGCGAAATTATACCATCAGAGACACCAGCGGCTCACTCTATTTCAGCCACTGGGAAGACTTTTGAAAACCTACAAAGAAACTTGCAAGAAAAAAATGGACAGTACTTTAAGTGCACAGTGAATACTCAGTATTTATTTCTTAAAATTCAAAAGCCCCTGTAAACTAATAAATCCAGATAGGTTTGTGATGTCCATCACTAATCATTAATGCTTAGTAATTGGTTCATTGGCAAGGGGTCCTATCCTAGTGAGCACTTTCCTGAATGCACAGATGGCTGAGACTTTTCTTTTAAAAGGTTTACTGTGTACATTACAATCACTAAAACACTATATGCAAGTTTTAAAAGTATCACAGCATCTTTGAGCCAAGACAGCAATTTAAATAAAAGCACATAAAAAACACGTTTTTAAAAAAAGTAGTTAAAAGACTATCTCAGAATAAGTGATCAAAGTCAAAGTTCCAGAAACTTCTGGTACCTGCTTTTGTGCTGAAACTCATAAATGAACTTGAGGGGAGGATCCAGCCCAAATAATCAACAGCCCTTTGTGGGTGTTGCCTTCCGCCTGTTGCACAATGAATTATTTCTATATTCATGCCCAGGTTGTTCAAGAAGAGATCTGATTTGACTTGTAAGATCTATAACATAGTCAAAAGGAATATCTTGCTTATAGAAAGATAGCCTCATTGGCCCATCTTCCACCCCTTCGGCTAGTGAGCACCTTTATTTCTGCAAACAAACTTGTAGCTGTGTTCCCTAGGCACTACTGATCATGAAAAACTGGATGTTGAATGGCTCCATCAGTAAAATTAAACACAGAGGCCAAGGAAACTTCTTTTTAATGATTGAAAAAACCAAACCAAGCAGCCCAGATATAGTGCTGGGCAAGGGCAAGGCTCATCTCTGCCTGTCCAATCTGTACACTGAGTTCGTAGGAACTGGAGCTGAGTGGAGAAGGATGATTGCCAGGCCCTCTGATCAGAAGTCATGAAAACATTACCTGTGAGCATCCTCGGTTTTTAAAAAGTTGACCTAAAAGTATCCAAGTTCAAATACTACATTTTTAAGTGAACATACAGAACCAATATATTGATTTTTCAAAAGCCAGCCTCGAAATTAATGTCTAAATTCTTCATTAGTATGATGGTTTTAAACCAAGCAAATAGCTTTCTTCATAGCTCTTAGTATAACGTATGGTAAAACTTAAGGTTTTTTTTTTTTTTGGTCTTTTTGAGACAGGATCTCCCTGTAGCCCCAGCTGTCCTGGAACTCACTATGTAGACCAGGCTGGCCTTGAACTCACAGAGATCAGCCTGCCTCTCCCTCCCGAGTGCTGGGATTAAAAGGCATGTGCCACCATGCCTGGCAAAAACTTAAATTTTTATGTTTAATTTGACATTGAAGAGTGGGCTTGCTTAGTTCTATGAAAATGGTTTGATGTTTTTTGTTTTCTTTGTTAAAAAAAAGCAAAAAATTTCATAAGAAGGTTTCTGTAGAAAATTCACTCTGCCAAGAAAAGCACTTGTACAAAAAGCAGCTGTAAACCAGACTACAACAACAGAGGAGCATGTGTTCTACCTGGTGACCAGATATATAAAGGGTGCAGTCAGCTCCCTGCTGGTCAGTAGCAGTCATTTGATAATTGTTTTATACTTACGGAAAATAGTTCTTTCAAACTTGAGGACATATTTTAATATTAACGAAAACACCAAGCTGAGTCTCTCTGTGATGTAATCAAGTTGGACTCCTCCTCTAGAACAGTGTTTAAATGTGTTAGTGACACATTTAAGTAAAACACTTCATCTCACACTCATTAAGCACGTCTGCTTAAGTCCTGTCATTAAAGCTGTCACTTTCTGACACTCTTTGTCTGCTCTTACATGTAGAACCACAGGCCATCACTGATGATCCCGTTATTAGACCACTGATACATAGGTGACAAGGGTATCTAGCGTAATGACTCCAGTTTAGCTAGTCCTCGGTACCACATGACCTTAGCTGCAGGAACAGTGAAAGATGCCCAGGTCAGAGGACAGGATACCGCTTACTGCATAGATTGATTTTTAAAGGGAATATTCCATTTGAAATCAATTACCATTTCTTTTCTGTTACTTGCTATTCACCCAGACAAAAGAGAAGAGAAATGGAGACACTTTTTTGGTTGCCAATCCCACTCCTCTGGGTTTCTTGTACATGGACAGGGTGTTCATTCTGACAGTTCACAATTTTTATCTTTGTTTTTGTTCTTCCTTAATCAGCCTACACAGCCTCAGGCACATCTCAAGCCAATCGATATGTGGGACTAAGCCCAAGAGACCCATCCTTCCTACATCAGCAACAGGTGGGCACGCTTCACCCAGGTGTAATGGGGTAGCCACGCTTTGCTTCGGCGCTTTTCTCCATGTTGCCTCTCAGATCTGGACTCAGGATGGGACTCACGGGGCTTCTGAGACCAAAATTGATCATTTCATTTCCCAAACATTTTTCTCATTCATCCTTTGCTTCTCACCTATCTGAAGAGAGTTTCTGAGACTGGCTCAGCCTCTTCCATCTTCCTAGCGTATACTGGCAGCATCCACAAACACTGCTGCATTTCAGAGAGGATTGTTTTCTGTCTTACTGGATATTGAGAACTTACTAGCCTATATAGCTTTCAAGGGCAGACATGGAAAAACCAGTTTAGGGCCAGCTAGAGTAGAAGCAGTACATCATTTGTGTTTTGAAGCATTTTCATTTTTTCCAGATGTTTTACTCCGCACGTCATATTTTAGTCCAGGAGGATGAGTTATGAAGCCAAACTCTCAGGCGACAGTTCATTCCTATTTTAATAGGTTTAAATTGGTTTAGTGATTTCAGATGTGATAAAACACTTTTTTGGGGGGGGGATCTACTTTCTTACATCATTTATGTTTCAAGTAGCATTTTAAATTTCACATCTCATTAATGCTGTAAATTTAATGCAAATGAAGTGTTTACCCAAACTGAAAAAGTACAGCCAGAATTAATGGTGGTTTATAAACAAATTAGCCACAGTCAAAAGCATACACCATACCAATCTAGAAATCCCACGATTCTAGTTACAGGGTCACAGAAATAATTCCGAACATTTCAGAATTGAAATATATTTTCCAGTGGATATGTTTGCTCTTCTCAAGTTTTGATAGCAGAGCGGTGTTAAGTGTATACAAAGCATTACATAGGGAAAAGTAAGCCATGGCACATAAGAAAGAGCTGGTCATAACCAACTTGCTCTTCATCTGTATGTTGTCTGTGTGTTTATACAAATTTTCATATATGTAGCACGTATACACAGGTACTTATGCCCACTTTTGTTCTAGAACTGTCTCCCTTGCTTTTACTTACTGTTCTCCAAGGCTTCCCAATTCACAGGTCAAGGTGGTAGACTGTATAGAAAGGTCAGGACATGTAGAGTGCAGAGAAAACCATTAAGATGATAGCTTATTTAGGATCCTGACATTTTGCCAGGTTAAGAAGCAAAACAAAGCAGAAGAGTGAGCAGTAACTGCAAACATCTGTCTATAGTTATGGAAATGCAAATAATAATGAGTGCTTTTGCCAGCCAGTAACTGTTCAACATAGTTCTCTGAATGTTGCTTTTTTACCTCTAAAATTGCTGTAATATGAACATGTTATAATTACTATGGTTCTTTTTGACAAATGTATGTGTTCATTGTGTATTTTAAACATATGCAGGACATAATAGATTTAGAAACTTGCTCCTTTAAAAAATCATCATATAATATTTTTTCAGAAATATTTGTGTCATGGGATTTACATTATTCTTTATGACACATCTCTAATTTCCAGTTAATTTTTAATTCACAGAGCATATCTCCATTATTTAACCTTTAGTCTTCAACACGTTAAAAATATTGTAACCAATTCCATACTTTGAGAAGCAGACTTCCCTCCCTTCACCCTAGTCCACCGTAGCTTTGTTTTATCCATTGTGATTAATGTTGGGGCCTCCTGTAATGATGATCACAAAACCTCATTCATATAAAACTTAACTTCTCTCTTAACGTTATCTAAAGATAAATCAAGAAAACTCAGCACGATGAAAATATGAGCCTCACTGTGGACAGAGATCTCTGGGCATATTTTATTTTGAGAAATAGATGTGACTTCTAAAAGTGCTGGGGGTTTTTTTGTTTTGTTTTTTTGTTTTTTTTTGTGCAAAGACTGACACTTGCTATTTAAGTGGCAGTGTTGAGTGAGGCCCACTTATGTTATGGATATATTTTCTTCAGTCAAATGCGGTTGCTATTTATGTAATATATGACATATATTAATCATTGGAAAAGAAAAGCCATATGCTTCACAAGTAAAAATCTTAAATACTGGGCAAGCAGATAATTTGTCTTTTATGTAATTAAAGCCAGTGCCACTTTTTGATTTGAAGAAATCCAGTATGCCAGTTCATAGCAAGCTAGGACTTTGAGGTATGAAGAAAACAAGCATGGATGTATGTCACATGATGTTTTCATCTTATCAAAGTAAGGCTCCACTTAAAGGCTACTATTTTCACCCTTTCAAATTAAGAATAGTAGAGATGAAGTTTTACATTTACTATATAGGAATGGAGAGAGAGAAATAGCTTAAATGACTTCAGTAAAGGTTATTCTTTCCTGCGGCAGAAATAAGAGTGATTTACTGTGATTTTTCATTACTTTATGAAGATTTAAAAGAGACTGCTCTTCTAACGGCAGGTTCTAAATGCATTTGGTTTAAAGCACTCAATGATGAATGAAAAGGAAAATCAAGAGGTACATGAAGTAAAGGTGATCAATCATTTTATATTAGCTAGGAGAAATTCAAAATTAGGCAATGGTTTTAGTCTGAGAGGGTTCTTTTAAACATTCCCTATAGCCTTTAATATACGTGACCCCTTAAGAATAAATATTTTAACCAAGTACATTCCTCAGTTCATGTGGGTTGCTTTATAAAGATTTATCTTTTCAGGTTATGAAAAGTATTGATGTGCATTGTTGCATGCATTTTTTTCTTTTGAAAAAAGTTTAATATTGCTTTCATAAATTAAAGTTCACAATAAATCCAAGATTATTGAATAATTTTGACCAACTTCTAATAATCTTTCCAGAAATGACATCACAGATGAGCTTTCAGTACAGTCATTTCTAACTCACAATCATACTAACGTTCTTAAACTGAAATGTAAAATATTAAAACACATCCACAGTTGTGAGCTGCCATGTGGGTGCCGGGAACAGAACCAGGGCCCTCTGAAAGAGGACCTGTTAACCTTAGAGCCATCTCTCCAACCCCTTTTAAAAGTTTTGTATATGTGTATAGATATGTATATACAATATGTGTATGTACATATATATATATATATGTGACAGTGAGTGTGCATATAGGTCATTGAATTAGATAGGGGACTATAAGAGGGTAAAGATAAGCATTAAGAAGGAGGGAGTGGTAATAGGATACAGTGACCTGAAAATGGAAAGGAGAGGGGGAAGGGTATGGATGGGGGATGGGGGACAGAGTGGAAAAAGATGAATAGAAACAAATTACAAGCATACCATAAATATAACATATTTTTTGCTAATTAAAAAAGTACAGCAAAAAAACCATCAATATGGACAAATTTGAATAGTGAGTAAATGCTTTTATACTCACTAACTTCTTACACACAGTTCTTAGTGGTAATTATACATTTGTGTGCTCTTTTTAAATGATTATTTCTGACTAATGCGAGTTCCTAACTGTCTTGAAATACTAGGCTTTTCTTTTCTGACATTGGTATTTCATTCATCAATGAAAATATTATCTCATTTGAATTTTAAAAATAAACTGACATAATTTTGGAAAATATTTCAGAAAGATTCATGTAAACCACTTGCTAACTTGCCATTAAAAACACTCCTCCCTACTTAATCATAATTTGTTCCTGTTAGCTGATCGGGACTTGCTTCTATCTCTTATCACAATCTTGGGTATTGTTCAAGGCCTGGAACTAGTCTGTCTTTGGGATTATTGGCTTATGTGAAGCATTCACTGTTGGCATGGGAGAAACTGTAAAACCAGAACTTCAACTGGAGCTTTTCTTTCTTAATTTTTCTGCTGAAAGATAGTGCGGTGGCTTGAAGAACTCTTTGGATCCTGCTTTAGCAAACTGAACTCTGGTCTCTACTACAGAATGTCTTGTCTTGGTCTGGAGCATTTTCAGAAGTGTGGAAGACATCTCTGGTTTACCTTTATAGACCTTTAATGAAGTACAGTATCTCTTTGCTTATCTGATACTCAGTGTGTATTTGTATGCCCAGAGCACATCCCTCAGCATTGACAGTACAGGAATCATATCTCCCAAATTTTATCCCCTTGAGAAAATGGTAACTATCTAGCAGAACATCAGATATTGCTGAGAAAGAAGAGAAATTATTTTATAATCCAGTCTAACAATTGTTTGAGACAACTCAGTTAAATCAGTGCTACCTCCTTGTCTGCTAAGCTTTATGTTTACTAATCTGAGGACTTTTTTTTAAATTTGCCATCATAGACAATTTGTTCATTTAAAAGAATCTAGTTAACTTGTCACCATTACAGTTGAGTGGAAGGTCACTTAGAAGCATAAATTTTTACTATTTCACATCAGTATAACCTTTTTTTTTTAAATTAACAAAACTTCATTGCAAATTGGAGCTAAATATTTACAGTTAAGAAATTTTCTGTGTAGGCATAAAAGATCGCATCATTCAAACCAGCCATTGATGTGCACACTCAACTTTTGATGCAGGCTGGAGATTTTAGGTAGAGTAAATGGGTCACTTTTGCCTCCCATAAATGAGACAGTTAAGTCAAGTCAGCTCATGTTTGTAGGAAATAAGACTTACTTTCACAATCTCAAAATGATCTCTTTGCTGTATGTGCTATCTGTGACTAGAGCTGTTGACTGGGTGGCCTCATTGCTTGCTTCCCTGTCCCAGTGCATGGGTTTCGTTCCGCATGCGCTATCTCTTGCATGACTATGCAATGCCATTATTTCAAGTTCAATCATGGGGCTAGTTTATATTGAAATGTTTTCAACGTTGTTCTTGATATCATTTCAAAGTAGAATTTGAAAGTACACAAAGTAGCTTTTAAAGAAATTGCCTCCATAGAATTTCTTTTTGCAAATCCAATATTAAGTGAAAGCCTCATGATGTTTGTCCTGGCAAAAATGGCAAAGCTGAAGCTTGGTACATAAAACCATTAAAAAGGCAGTCTTTAGAAGCAAGCAGTGGAAAGGATACAAGTGGGCGATCAGCAAGCTTTTCAGGAAAGGCAGGAAGCAGGCTATCAACACTTGGGCCGTTC